TTGAAAAATATCTGGTAATTATAAACAGAAGTAGTGATTTACATTTAATAACTCTGATGTCGAGACATTTTAAGCAGTGTCACAGCAACATTTACTGGTTCTCCTTCAACAGTGGCCCACAATGTCGCTGAACAGGCTCATAGTCTTGGTGGGGTCAGTCTGCAAGCGGTTCTGTTCTACACCCATCTGCAGAAGGCTCTGACTGGAAGAACCGCGCCCCCACCCACCGCTCCTAGCAAAATAACCTTATATGACGACTCTGTGCTGCTCGACCACCTGAGTCACAACAAGAAGTTCAAGGAGCAGTTTGAGAAGACACTGCAGGACATCCACGCTAGAGTTTCAGTTGACAAAACCATGGAACAGTCAAAGATTTCGCTGGAGATGACAGTGGACCAAGAGTCTCTGCAGATGTACCATGTGGCCTCTGTTTGGGAGAGCAAAGCCAGGACTGATGTGGAGAGCCTGCTGAAGAGATATATTGTGATCAAGCTGGATGCTGAAAATGAAATCTGGAAGAGGATCAAGGATACATGCCTCAGCCTGGTCTCCCCTGATGTCAGTGTCTTTTATGAAGGTCCCCATCATAGAATTTTGGTGGTGGGGCAGAAAAATGAAGCGAATCCAGTTGTGGATTCTGTTAGGCTCCTTGTGAAGAACACCAGTGAGGAACTGGCAATTCAGAGAAATACCGTGGTGAGGATGATCACTCTGAATTCTAAAGAGGAGCTTGGTTTTCTCTGGAACATGGTTTCCAGTAAAGTGGATGGTGTTGAAATATCAAAAGATGATGAAAACCTGAGCATCTACCTTAAAGGACTCACAGACCCAGTAAGTTCAGCAGAAATGATTATCAAGAAAGAGAAAGAGAATTTGGCCACTAAAACATTAAATATCTCAGTTCACCTAGCAAAGTTTTTGAAATCTTTGGACTTGAAAAAGTTTGAGCATGATCACTTTGTTCAGCAGAAATCCCAGGAAGGTATTTGTGCAGTCATCCTGAAGTGTGGGGATTCTTACCAGATCCTTGCAGAGAAAAAAGATATTTTTAAAGCTGAACAGACTGTAATGGCGGTTTTGAAAGAGGAAGTGTTGGAGCTGACCCCTGAACAACTGAAGGTCACTAAGGACGAAAACTGGAGGCACTTCTTTGGTGATCTGACAGAAGATGTGTCTAATGTCAAAGTTTTACAGTCTCACAAATCGATCATAATGACAGGATTCTGCAGTGCAGTGACAGACATTTCAAGGAAACTGAAAGGCTACCTAAATAACAAATTGCCAGTAACGGATGACGTTACCGTGGAGTCCGTGGAAGTGCTGGACTTTATAAATGACTGCATGAACTTGTCGGAAGTACCTGCCATCAAAGTCCTGAATGCAATAATAGTGCCATCAAAGACTTCCCTCTGTCTGAAGGTCACTGCAGCCAGTGACAAGATCCAGGAAGCCATCTCGACAGTGAAAAACCAGCTGGCTCTCATTGTGAAGGAGAAGCACACATTTCTCAAAGCTGGGGAATTCATAGTGCTGGAGAAAAACCAGACTGCCCTCAAAGCCCAAGCCAAAGAGTTTGGGTGCATGTTGCATTTCCCTACTGAGGAAACCAGCCCTGCAGCTTCTGCTCGAAGCTACAGCCATAACATAGCTGGCAGCATCACACTAACCATTGTCCAAGGTGACATGTCCTGCCACTCGGGTGATGTCTTAGTTTGCCCATTGAGCGGTAACTTGGCTTTTGATAACCCCATCGCTCAGAAGGTTCTAAAGATCGGGGGCCCTCAGATACAAGAGGCCTTAAAGAGTTTAACTAAGGAAAGAAATGCTTTAATAGCCGGAGATGTTGTTCTTTCCAAACCAGGAAACTTATCTGCAAAGATCCTTATGTATGCTGGGATTTCTGCTTGGGGGAGTAGTGGTCACCAGCTCAACGGTCAAACCATTGAGTTCATTCACCTCAAGTCAGCAATCTTAAAATGCCTGACAAATGCGCAGGACAAGAAGTTCACCTCCATAGTGATGCCAGCTTTGGGCTGTGGAACCTTTGGCTATCCCGTTAGTGAGAGCTGCAAGGCGGTTATCGGGGCCATCCTGGAGTTCTGTGAAACCTACCAAGGAGCACCTCAGGATCTGAGAAAAATACTCATCGTTGACCCAGATATCAAGATAGTAGAGGAATTCAATAATGTGGCAAATGAAATTGTAAGTGTTGACCATAACCAAGTTTTCGTTATAGCTTAATTTATGATAAAAATATAAAAACATTGTGTATTGTTTTTAAGTGAAGTTTTCACTTCCAGGCTGGTATACAGGCACACAGTGGCACCATGGGAAAGGACACCAGACCGTCAGACAAAGCAAATGTCACTCAACCACTGCAGGTCCCATCGAACTCAGGAGCAGGTAAGTGATGATTCACGGTTTTAAACCATTTGACATGACGATCAGCAGTCATGTGTATGCAGAACATTTGAGTTCATACCTGGACTGTCCTTCCTCCTGGCCTGGAACTTCTCTGACACCAGTATCCCGAGTGCTTGTCGGCAGTATGCTGGTGATGCTGAAAAAGGGAGATATTACCCAAGAGAAAGTGGACGCCATCGTGAATTCCACCAACAGCACTTTAAATCTTCAAACTGGTGAGGGTCCACTAGTGGGGAAGAAAAGAGGGGGTGCTGGTAGGATATTAGCGGGAAACTATAGAAATGGTTGAAATGAACTTTCAGCACAGACACTCTGTGTGCATAGTTCGGTTGCTATGGAACAACTGCTCACTTCATTACAGTAATTCCAAAGGGAGGAAGCTTCATTCTCCTTATTGCAAAGGATCGCTGTTTACTGCTAAATGCTTCGTTCACTTTTCCCATTGGCTGCAGCATTATCTCCTTATTTATTAAGATATTTTGTCTCCCTTGTATTTGAAAGGTGTCTCTGGGGCCATTCTGAAGGCAGCTGGGAAATCAGTTACAGATGAATGTGCCAAATTGGGTAATACCTTATATCCCATGATGCTCAGTGTAGGATTAAAAATCCATGCAGCAATAAGTATCAGCTTCATACATGATTACCTATGTAATCAGTATGACTGAGTAGCTCTCTTTAAGAGTGCTGCTCTGATGGGTGGTTTTAGGTGCTTACCTTAAACATGCTCACCCTGTCAGGTACCCAGAAAGAGGACGGAGTGGTGGTGACCAGCGGGGGCAGTCTGAGCTGCAAGCACATCATCCAGATGGTGGGGCCAAGCACCACAGCTGGCATCACAGCCTCCATAGAGAAGGTCCTGCAGCTGTGTGAGAACAAGACTTGTGCTAAGGTTTCCATCCCAGCCATTGGGACAGGTGAAACCACACCCACACCACGCCTCCTGTCACCCTCAGCCAATGAGTGATCCTTTTATTAAATACCAAGGTCATGTGGCAGAACAATAAAGCAGCGCATTTTAAATGGTTAATTTCTCACAGGAAAAGGTAACATTGGACCAAAGGAGTCTCTCCAAGCCATCCTCAAAGGACTGGAGAACCATTCATCAAAGACGGCCTCAACCTGCATCCGATTCGTTTACATAGTGGCCTTAGAAGACAGGGTCTTCCAGTGCCTTTATGAATATTTTGTTGAGAAGACCCACCCGTCACTGCCCAAGAAGCAGGTCTTTGTGCTTATTTGTTTGATATTGAACACCAGTGACCCTCCATATGAGGAAGATTTAGCTATGCAAACCTTTGCCTGTAGGTTTATTGCAGCTTTAGACTAACGTGTCCTGGGGTTGGGCTATTCAAGATTCAAGATTCAAGATTCAAAGCGTTTATTATCATATGTACAGAAAAGTAGTATTTCTCAGTACAATGAAATTCTTACTTTGCTGTCCACTCACAAATGCCAGGTTAAATTAAATTACAAGTACAAAAGAGCATACTTGAGAAAAATAGTGCAAAAAGAGCTTCTATATAGTCTCATGTCAGTATATTTATTTGTATGTGATTAAAAATTTGATTTTAATGGGATATTCATTGTTTTTCCTCTCTGTTTTGTCTGGAATTTCAGTCAAGTGAGGAGCAGCTACCTGCGAATCAAGGTAAGCTCCCATTGTGGCATTTGCAAAAAAAGTTTATCTTCATATGATTTGAGTATTTATAAAAGATGCTCATTCCACCCCTGACATGTCAACTTGAAGTACGTTTTCCTGCATTTATTTGCATTTGCTCCTACTAAAATCACATTGACGGACCTCTAAAGTCAAGATCCGTGAGGTGAGACTGGAGGTGCGGAAAGGAAACATCGTCACAGAAACAGTGAGAGGCATCGTCAACACCACCAACAAGGATCTCAGCCTGAAAGGCGGTAAGCAGCAAGCGCTTCTGAATGCACCATCCTTCATGTCACTGTGGTAACCTCTGGGTTTAGCTGGAAGACGTTTCTATCTCTCATGTTTCAGGTGTTTCTGGAGCTATACTGAAGGCTGCCGGACAGTCAGTGGAAGACGAATGCAAGAAACTCAGTGAGTCTGCATTATATGGCATGGAGTGCTTTGATTTAACTGCAAAGGCCGCTCAGACTGTCACCTGCCTGTGTCTGCATGCAGGTCCCCTGGATGATGACAGGGTCGCCGTTACTGGTGGTGGAGCTCTACAATGTGACTTCATCATCCACATGCTGGGGCCTCACTCGTGTGCTGCCGTGACTTCCCGGGTGGAGAGGGTGCTGGAAGAGTGCGAGAACAACCAGATCACCACAGTCTCCTTCCCTGCTGTTGGCACTGGTCAGCATGTCCCTCTCCAATATGTAATATAATGGACAGATAAGATACCATAGATATCTAACCAGTACCATAGATATCTAACCAGTACCTTAGATATTCATGATGAAAACACTCACCATAAATATCCAGCTACAGCTGCTAGTATTGTGTCTTTTTTCTGAGCAGTAGTTGACATTCTGTGGTTAGTTGCAACATTGTAAATTTATGTTTTCTTGGTGTTGCTTCTGAAAGCACTCTTTGCATATTGGTTCTTATCCCAGTAACAGATCCAGTTAATCGATAAGCGATTTCACTTGGTCACTGATGTCCGTTCAGAGCAAAAACAGAGGAGTCGTTTCTGATGCATGTAATTAAGCAGAAGAGTATAGTGGTCTACTTGAATCTTGTTATTCATTCTGTATCTTTCCATTCACTCTGACTGCAGGGGGCGGTGGTCTGAAAGCAGCAGATGCAATCACTGCCATGCTCAAAGGGTTTGAGACCCACCTCACTCGGCGTGCCTCCACCGTACTCAAACTGGTCTACGTTGTTATTGACAAAGATGACATCCTGAAAGACGTTCTTCAGGGACTCCAGCTGTGGAAAACAAAATCAACAGTATGGAATAATAACAACTTGAAATAACTGAATCGTTGAATCAAGCAGTGACCTGTTGTCCTTCATTTACCAAATGGTATTTTTAAAGAAATCATGTTGTATTGATTAATTTATATGTATTATTTGGTTTCTCTTCAACCAGAATGAATCCCTTGATGATGATGAGGAGGATTGGAGCTCTGAATCTGAAGAGGAAGATCAGGGTTCCTCTAGCAGTAAGGCTTAACAAGGTCTCCAGAAATTTCTCTCAAACACTCTTTAATGAAAGGTCATGACCATTCATATTGTTTCTACCTGGCAGGCAGCATTAAGGTGGTCATGGGACCAATAGACATTAAGGCATTCTGTGGAGACATCACCAAGGAGACCACCGACGCCGTCGTTAACAGCACCAACACATCCCTGAACTTAAACACAGGTAAACCACCCACTGTCACAACTGTTTCAAAATCAAGGTGGGCTGTCACTCCTGAGGGACGCAGTGCAAAGTGGTATTTATTACCAAAGTTAATGGGAAATGTTGATTTTGTGTTTTATATTTCAGAATTACCCAAAGATGCCAGCATGTTATCTTAAAGTAGCCATGCTGCCTACTTCTGTGAAAATGCTTGTGACTGATGCCATATTCTCCTTGTCAGGTGTATCTGGGGCTATCCTGAAAGCGGCAGGAAATAGTGTGGTGGATGAATGCAAAGCTTTGGGTGTGTATCCAGTGCATTCCTGTTATGTGGGTGGTGATGTCACATCATATTTGTGTCTAAACACGTTGTCTCTTCGTTGTGTGCTTTTAACTAGGAACCCAGCCAAGTGATGGACTGGTTGTCACCAAACCAGGAAAACTCCCAGTAAAACACATTGTCCACATGGTCGGGCAGACCACAGATAAAGCCATCACAAGTTCCATGTGCAAAGTCTTGAAGGCTTGTAACGACATCAAAGTTCAATCAGTGTCATTTCCAGCACTGGGCACTGGTATGCAAATGGAAATCAATCATGTTCCTCTCCATTGCTTAACTGATATTTGTATACAAAACTTTGCCTACTTTTAGTGATGGATTCACATTAAATATCTTGGATTTGAACTAGGGACATTCATGAGTCTGTGTCCTTAATTGCCAAACCGCCAGGAGCCTTATTGATGTCTTTTGAAATTACATATCAAGTATGTATCCTTTCCTTGTTCAGGAGCAGGAAACCTGCATGCAGACCATGTGGCTGTAGCCATGATGGATGCCATCCAGAACTTCCTGCAGGACAATCCCCAGCCAAATGTTACTTCTATTCACATCGTCATATTCCAACAAAACATGTTTTCCAGCTTTGAACAAGCCATGAAGAAATGTAAGGTGTCACCTGGTAAGGCTTGGCAACCAGCTCTAGCTGTAAATTAGCCATTGCTAGGAGTCCCTTTAAACAGTGCAATATTCTAGTGACGACCATTCTGTAGAAAACAGCATTTTTAGCACAATTTATAACAAACCATTTATTCACTGTATGCTAAGACCGATAATTTACAATAGTGTGCAAAGCTTAAGGTGTTTCTCGTGTCCACTTTAGCGGAAAAGCTGGAGAAATCGAAACCTGTTCCAAAGAGTAGCCAGTCTCATCCTTCATTGGATATCACCAGCCTCTTGGCCAATGTGACTTATCCCACCATGACCGTGGAGGTATACGGGACGACTGCGGGCAGCCTGGCCCAGGTGAAGAAGTGCCTGGAGGACCTGCTTGCAGAGGAGTGCAGTTCACAGGATGTGGAAGCCCAAAGCCTGTGCTTCCTCCAGGAGGCGGAGAAACAAGCTATAATCGACCTGAGCAACAAGCACCATCTATGCGTGGCAGTCCACGTGAACAAGTTGACAGTGTCAGGAAAGAAGGACGATGTTCTCATGGCTGTCCTGAAGATCAAAGACCTCCTCCAGGGAGCGAAAGAGAGAGAGAACCAGAAGTTTGAGAAGGAACGGATAAAAAAAACAGTCCTGTGGGAGAAGGTGAAACAGGGAAGTTGGACCTCAATTAAGTCTAATATTAGCTATAACTTGGAGTGTGCCTACATCCGACAGGAGAAGACTTATTTGTTCACACAAAAAGGGAAAACTTACAAAGTGAATCTAGAGCAGATGCAGATGACAAATGGCAAAGGAATAAATTTCAAGATCAGAAGGACACCCCTTGTGGGAGATTCAGGCACAGGTAGACAAATCAAACTTCAGTGTATCCAGAGCTAATGGCTATAGATACATCTACAGCTAGGAGACAAGGATTCCAAGGCTTTATTGTTATTTGTACACATACAAGTGCTATAAAATATTTGCATGCATACCTCCCTGCAGACATATACATATAATGCTAAAGAACAATGAACAGCAAAACGGTGAGAACAACAATGTACATACAATGTATACATGCAATGTATACATACAATATATACACAAAATATCTACATACAATATAACCGAGCACTGGCTGCAAGATTCATGCTTTTGATGTCTTAATTGTGCCACATATGAAAAGTTATGTAGAATCATGTGTTCACCTTATGAGGAAATATATCAGGGTTATTCTTGCATAAACCTAAAACATGAACTGCTGCCTGTCACTGAGGAATGGTAAGGAGTTTCTGAGAGACGCGTTGACCATTGTTCAAACATCTCCCTCTAGCGGTGATTCAGACGCCTCCAACATGGACCAAGATGGCTGGCAAAAATTACATTGTTGTTCCTCTGGTTGCAACGTCACAGGAATACCAGAACATTTCAAAGGACTTTATAGCATCCTGCCAACATTTTACAAAAACAGAAACGAAGCGCATTGAAGTGGTCCAGGTGAGAAACCCAGCCAACTTCCAACTGCTTGTCCAGTGAAAGGTCAGATGGAGTGTGGAGGAGGTCCCAGGCAGGTCAGGCACAGGGCAGGCCTGCATGCTGGATGTGATTCTAGTGAACGGAGACTGTTTTTCAGTAAATGATAACTAGATTAAATAAACTGGAGCTTCTTGTAGAACCAAATCAAACTGTGACAATTCAATGTGAATCACTAGTTTGGCACTTTGCCGATCTCTTGACAGATAGAGAGACTCCAGCATGACGTGTTGTGGCAGAGCTATTCTGTGCGGAAACAGGCCATTGATAAGAAGTATCCTAAGAACCCCAATGAGCAGATGCTCTACCACGGCACCACAAAGGAAATCTGCCAGAAGATCAATGCCTACGGCTTCAACAGGAGCTTCTGCGGCAGAAACGGTATGTTTAGCATTAGCATATTTGGCAGTGATGGTAACATTTCTAAAAAAATATTGCAATCAAGGGGAGACCTGACTCACTCAACATTCAGAGAACTGGCACATTTTCCTCACTCCACTCTTGAGTAAACCTGAGGACTGTGCCCCGTCTACACAATTAGAAAGAGCACCCCAAAGCCCCCACTGCCCTTTGGGTGAAGGCACAAAGCTAGCTTCCATTTATTGCCCGAAGTCCACGAATCAGTGCTAACAGTAAAGTAGTCATCAGGATTGACCTTTTCTGTGGCTGTCAGTGTACCTCCTCTCTTTATCGAACTCGCACTAAAGCAGCAATGTCCATTCTGAAGTAGAGTGACCAAAGTTTCTTGAGACATCTTCCACACCATTAGTTACAGTAGCTTGCGACTTTTTCTGTATTGTACTGGGATATTGGTGATGAGAAGTGAATAATAACTTATTTCCCTTTACCACAGCTACAAAGTACGGCTTGGGAACCTACTTCGCCAAAGAAGCTTACTACTCTTGCTATGATAGTTACTCCAGCCCAGACGATCAGGGCCAGAAGTACATTTACAGGGCCCGTGTCCTGACGGGGAAGCCCTGCCTGGGGGAGTCCGGGCTGAAGGAGCCCAAAGCCCTGAATCCTAACGACCCCCAAGCCGGTCTTCATGACTGCGCTGTTGACAAACTGCAAAACCCTTTCATCTTCGTCGTCTTCTGTGACTCAGGTGCCTATCCAGAATATCTTATCACGTTCAAGGCCGTGTGAGACACAGAGACAGCATTTCCTGTCACCACACCAGCTTCTCTCTAGAACCTAGTCAGTTCTAGAGAATGGACAGTGCCTTAGTTTATATTTACATTTTTCGATGGGAAACAGTCAGTGGATTATTAATTAGTAAAGTGTTTGGAATCAGTTTGCCAGGGTTGACATTTTTTGTTGATTTATATAATTAATGAGATTTTGTATGTAGAAGTGTTTTTGGATGCCTTGATCTAGCTTGTGTAATCCTCCTTTTGTTTACATCAATGCTTTTCAACCCAAAGCTCAGGGACCCCCAAACAGTCCATATTTTTGCTATCTCCCTGCTCACGACTAGGGAAAACTGGTTTACACTGGTTTTACATACACCTACCAGACCATTTACGTAGGAGAAACAAAACTCACCAGATTGCCTTAGCCAAACCATTTCATTAAAGAGTGGTATAAGCACAGGAATTAACAGCAATAATAGCAAAGTTTTTTTTTTTTTTAATGATGCATGTGATAAACATTACAGTGCCCGACTGTAACAGAAGCTATTGACGGTTTTCCATGGTTCATTAGGATGATGGGAATCTTGGGGTGATCAGAAAGCAGCGTGACCAGGGGGAGGAGAAATCACATTTCAAGGGTTTCTCATAGACTCATTTGCAGGTTGTGATGATGGATATGCATGTTGCTCTGAATAAAAATTGTTCTGATACATGATGACTTTATGGTATTTTTCAGAATTTGTTTGTTTGAATGAAAGGCAGTCAATGCTATTTTATTATTTCTATAAAACTATTAATAGAAACCACCCAGCTTCCTCCCAAAAGCTCCCTTCTGGTTGATCTCCACTACTGCATCCTTGTTACCCTGATCCCTCACATTCTCTTCTGCTTCTGCTCCACCTTACTGTGTTCCTCCATTTTGGTCAAAAGGAAGCATGAACTATACAAATAGAAATGATCTATACAATGTTTGTATCCCGATAAAGAGAAACACAAACATTCAGGTAGTCGAAACATGGAAATGTGGCTACACTGCATGTGAAGAATTCATTTGTAAGAAAAACCTAATTAAATCATTCTGTTAGCTTCCCAGTCATCCTCTTCGAGGGGAGCATATCCCTCCTGTTCCATCCTTGGGATTCCTTCTTAATTGGATTCAGTGTTAATGCAAATAAGACAAAGTATGGGATCGATTAATCCTGCTCCTCAGAGGATGTGCTTTGAAACCTTTCAAACTGGAGTGATTGAGGCTCAAGGTCAGCTGAACATTTGGGGGCCATCAGGCAGAAGACTGTTTCAGTATCTGAAGCAGGAAAGGATGGCGCTAGACATATTGGGCCCCAAACCCGGACCAATCCAATTATGTCCCAAATTTTTTAGGGCCCTTGTCACTCAGGGGCACATGGATTCATCCTAATCCCCACCCCTCACCTTATAATGTACCCTTGGAAGCAGAAGGCAACAGGAGTCAGAGGGAGAGGGAAATCTCAGGGTAGTAGTCTGCAAAGAAGAAACCATCTTGCAGTTTGATGAGAGCCTGTATTCAGGATTGGGAGGATGGACAGGGCTGCCGTGGGTCACAGCACACCCACCATTATAATGCCATTTTAAGTTAAATGAGATTTCTACGATTCCTGGTGAACCTGTTTGACTTTAGTATTGTACTTCAAAGGGTTTTTTTGGTCTGGAAGATGACCACTAAAGCGGTGCTCCAGAATGCGACTATTTTGGAGAGGGTGCTACTTAATATTATAAGTAGGCGCACCAGTGCGACTAGCCTTTTTTTAACTGTCGTTGTATATCACATGAAACAACGGGAGGGATCGAGAACCGGTTCTAACTTATGAAGAACCGGGAGTTTGATAAAATTTTTGAATTACGGTTCAACTTACCGATTCCCACGCCTGCATTTTTAATCAACTATGTAAGGGTTAATGGACGACAACCCGTTTGTACTTGAAATTATATTCACGTTTACGAACCGAAAACGCTTTTATTAGTATAACTAGGCTATTTAGGTTCGCGGTATAATAGCAGCATAGCTTTTTTTTTTCCTTTTGGAGGAACTGTATCATGGGGGATTTGAAAATACCAATAGGCCTATAGTGTTGCTTTTTAAAATATAGCCGAAATACCGTATACCTACATGTAATGTATGGACGGCACCAAAAATTAGATATCGCTTGCTACTATGTTTTGGCTATATATGGCCCCAAGCCACCGTCTTTAATTCTCTGTTGTTAAGCCCAGAAGCCAGTCGTCATGCAGTTTGGAAACTGTCCGCTGGTAAACCCAAAGGCCAATATTTATAAACATACATTCAAACGAATTGTGTAACATCCGTGGATTAAGAACATGTTTTTAAAACACATAGCTACGGAGGGAAAGTTTTTGTTTTTTATTTGTTTTGTTCGGTCAGTCTTTGTTTCAATTTAGCTTTATGTACCTCTTGGTATTAAGCTGCTTTATGGATAAAACCCGACTTGTTTACCGTTAACCGACTAGCGTATTATCCAGTTTAGGCAGGTTAAAGAAAAATGTAAAGCACTACTGACATCAATAGCAAACTGACATCCAAGATTGACTGTATGTATTTTCTCTTAGATCACCATAAAATTATTATATATATACACACACACATATATGGAAATGTCCGATTTGACTGAAATGACAGATTCCAAATCAGATTTGAAATTGATACAATACGAACGATACCCAGGCTTAATTACTGGTGTGTGTTTGTGTGCGAGTGAGCGAGATAGAGAGTGATTATAGTAGAGATCTAACGAGAGGCTACCGTCATCATAACGCGGGTTGGGGACAATTCTGTGCAGAATGTCATCTACCTGCGTACAGCCCTCAAGAACTATATGCCTTTTCTCTTAATGCAGTACTTAACTCTATGTGACGTTGTCCTCTACAGTCAACAATAAAACACCACACTGATATTTCTGTAAATTATATGTTTATTGCCAAAGCATTTATCCGTAATACGATTAAGAATGTGAATGTCTTGCTTTGCATGTCGATTTAAATGTTGTGTTGGGTACACCTAAATTTTTTAGTAAGGAGCACCAGTTTTACTGGTGGAAAAGGGTAGTCCGGAATCTTAAACTCAAAGGTCATTCCTTATCTTCCCGTATAAAATCGAACTGAACAGACACTGACGCACATTTTCAAAGGATAAAGCCAAACATGAAGATGTTTTTGAAACCTTTCACTTCTCGGAATTGTGGCCGTTTCGATATAAAAAAAGTAAACATACATTACCACAAGGTGGCGCCATCACCACGCATTTATCCCGACATATGGCATACCCACATTGCTTGCTGGTTTTATTGAGACCGGATCCCAAATTAACCTGGCTGATTGGTCTGGTCCATTAAAAGAAAAACATAACCCGTTAAGAATTATGCGCTTTTCTGTAAATAATAAGAAGTTAATTATGCCCTTTTATTTTACCCAAGCTCCACAAGCAAAGTATGCAGTTCATTTATAATAAACAGTTTGTTCGGTTAATTGTTTAAGGTGCGAGGAACAACAATAAATCATAAAATGAAGCCGATGGCACATTTATATAATTATTTCTAGTGGGATAAAAAAAAATGTCTCTGCATCAGCACATAAAGTGCCACACAAAGAATAAAAAGTCAAGTCGGAACAACTTAAAAAAATAACCTAATTAAAGGCCGCAAAGTAAAAAGGAAGTGGTCGCACAGGCAGAGCTTTCTGGCGTCTATATATACGTATAATTGCAATTTTTCGTTCTTCATCCTGTTACAAAATGATGCATCTAAAGTGAAGATAATCACGTACAGATATTCGAGTAAAACTCCTTATTGCAAAGCGCAGCCAGCATTACCCACAGAATGAGTTTATCTTGCGCCTCATTTGGGCTGCAGATTTACAAGAAAATGGAAAAATGATTCCAGTGACCCAAAACTATCATAATGTTGGTCTTTGACCATTTAAAACGTCATAATACGCCCACTCCCTGCGACCCCCGAATAGATGTACAGCGGAATGTCATTGAGAATCATTCCGATCTTAGCCCCACTCGGCCAGGTAGGGTTCGGGTCGCCAGAGCTTCAACACAATGACCGCAGCTTTACTTCCACAACGACACCTGCCATCTCAGACCTGACACATTATTTTCAAGTTAAGTCTCAATGGAAAGTCCGGGACAGGGATGGGCCAACGAACGGTGCGCTGAAGGTAATTATCTGCACCATGTATTCGGCTCGATGAAATATCACTGACACCCCTAATCCAAAACCTGCAGGAGAATTAATCGTAGAGTAAAACTATTCAACTATGTCAACACAATGCCAGGCAACTTCAATGCCCATGATATGACCACTTAGGAGATACCGTATCACTGTAATTCGATTCTTCCTTTCTGCTTGTTTTCCTTTTAATTAACCCATGGTTATATTACTTACCTTGTACATACAACACAATTGTAAATAATGCTTTATTTCATATTTATCTATTTATACTGCTAACGGTCATTGCAAATGTATTGCTCCGTTGCATTTTTTGCAAACATAATACTGAGTGGGCAGTGGGCTGAAGTAAATACAAGGTTGGCAACTCTCACGCTTTCATAATCTCGCGCTGACACGAGAAATCTTACGGCAAATCTATATTATTCCATTATAAACCTAAAATTAGTTACATGGAAAGCGGTGGGGTAGTTCGCAAACCCTCCAGACTATTTACATGGTAATAAACTCTTACGTACATATACAGTAAATGCGTGGGCCTGTGTGCGCCGACTTGGCTCGAATTGAAAATCTCATTGCAGCCAGTAGATCAAGAAGTTGACAAAAATGCATGTATATTTTCTCATATCAAACTATTTACCCAGATCTCCGAAATACTACCAGAGTCTGCTTGTTTCGGGCTTTGTTCTAGCTTGCACGCAAAATAGCATCCGATAGAAGCAAAATGTTCAGCGCACCTTTTTTTTTTTTTTTTTTAAAAAAAAGTCAAACTCATTCGTGAGCAGCACGGCCATTGAAATAGAACGATGACTTACTCGGCTTTCCAAAAGGGTTGCACCGTAGTGTCAAGGGGATGGCCAGATGTACTTGGATTCCGTTCGTCCAGGAATGTAAAAGGCAACTTTACTAGACACCTAACTGAACACCTCGGATTTCAGCGGATCGCAGGTAAACCACAACTGATCAGTAATTGGTTCAATGCAAGCACAAGGGCACAACATAGACAATCTTAGTCAAATGACTATAAAAGATGATTTTCTTCTCCCCACCAAATAGTCAGCTAGGAGGAGAATATACCAAAACTTAAGTGAAGACATTTCACTACGTATTTATTTGCCACCCGGAAAACACCAGAATGAATAATATGTCAGAGGAATAGGAGAAAACACTCCGATTGGGACAAGGGACATCGTTTGGTGTAAACATTTATTGGTTTCAAATAAAAATGATTTGCACCAGCAAAAATTGTACAGCCGTCTTGAATTGGAATAAAAGAAATCCACAGTATAAATGTGCAAACTTTTGATTTTCCAGTAGTCCTTCAAGGAGGACATAATTTAAAAAGATTAACTAAGAAACCGGAAGTGTTGGCCTCGTTCTGAGAAGATGGCGGCGATGACACGGTAGGGTAGAGGACGACATCCCGATCGGGTTGCTAAAACATGCCGTCAGGAAGATTCAGAGTCATAAATTAGATTAAAACCAGGAATATTTAACTTGATATTTTCTTTCATTTGTGCCTGTTACCACCATAACGTTCGCCACGAGGACTTAAGTATTTAGATTATATAAATTATGTACAGTGTCGGGGGTTCTACATTTTAAAAGACTGATTTCTCTGGACTCGTGGTAGAAGGCACCAAAAGAAAAATGTTTGGCAGTTCGGTAATGATTCATGTAAACTGACCACAGTGAACAATAACCGGCTCGTGGGAGACTAGTCCCTGGGGTCCAGACCCAGCACAGAATATCCTCAGGTAGATTTTTGGCTTTTGACGGACTAAAAACTAAACTAGGCAAGAAAATGTGGAATTGGGGAAAGGATGCAGCTGTACTGCCCGCCTGGGCCTAACAGAATTTCAAATATAAAACAAATTAAAAAAAAAAAAAAGTACCCGCTGCCATTTGATATGTTCCAGTCAATTCTGAAAAAATGGGTTAATATTTGGAACTGCATTCTTGGTTTTGAATACTCCCACAGAATAAACTCGTTTTCAAATCGCTAGAACAACACAAAGACAAAATTCCCAAAGTCTCTCATAAGTGAAAACCCATGATATCAAACCAACTCAGTGGGTAACGGGAAGTGGGGAGTGACTGAAACGGGAAGTGACAGGTGCCGGGGGACGAGGGGACGGCCCAACCCTCACTGGGAGCTGGCCCTCTCCAGGTTGGGAAGCTCTAAGTGTCTTTTGCTAGTTCTGAGCCTGAAGGCAGCGGGGCCGCCGCCGCCGTGCTTGGCCAGGGCGCTCTGCGCTGCGTGTCTGGAGGGAAACAAAGCCAGGATGGTGTAGGCGGACGCCAGGGTGTGGGGGGGCTTCGGGCGGTCGGGGGAGCCGCTGGCATCCCCGGGGCCGCGGTGCGCATGCGGCTGGGGGTGTTCTGGTAGCCACCGGATGGTGGCCCCTACTCTGCAGAGGTCGGCGAGCAGGGCGTCCGCCTCGGCACGGCTCAGCCCCTCTGGCAGGCTGGTCACCTCCAGGACCCTCCCCATTACTGGGGGGGGGGGATGCAGATAGGGAGGGGGAGACATGGAAAGAAAGAGAAACAATCACATCCTCTGACTTGCATTACAAAGTCAGTCCCCCTGCCCATGGGTGAGTGTGAGTATCAGTAAACCATAATAATGCTACTGGTGCCTCAGAGCAGCCGTGTGGGGGGAGTGCTCAAACCAGCATGCTCCATCTCCAACGGTGACCGGATGCTTCCGGACACCGCAGACAGGATCCCTCACATGCGGCCATTCATTCAAATACTGTAATTTCACATTTCATCCTGATGCTGTTTTTCCCCTCCACTGGCTGGCAAGTCACTGTGGTTCCCCAACTGTTTATGGTCAGATGCAGGCAGTATATATTAACAGGCGTGGACCCATAGCCCTGCCTAAGAACTTCCACTCCATTTATCGGCACTTTAGTCCTCCAGAGGTCGTGAACTGGGAATCTTAATCTCACAATTAACAGACCCGATGGCTCCCAAATCCAGTTGAACCCCACAATAAACCAGTTTAATCCTGCGGTTAATTTAAATAAACTCGATGCCTGCATGTTAACCGAGAGCTCCGAGCCATAGTTGCGGGGTGTCATTAATGCTGTTTCCACAGCAACATCAGGCCCCACCCATTACCTGGGTCACCTACACTGAGATCTGAAGACAGTGCCTTCCGTGTTGACTTCCTCGCCCTGCCACTGTGCCGGATCGCTGCGTGTCCCTGGAGAGATGGCGACATGTGGGTGTGCCAGCTTGGCATGCTTTTGCATTATTTGTCAGGTGCCCAGGCAGCACAACACCCGAAAGGCTGGGCACCGGAAGTTTCAGGAGACTCACCTGGTGATTGGGGACCACGTGGGGGCCGTGAAGCAGTGGGGGCCGAATGGGGGGGTTGTACTGAAGGGGCTGGCCGAGCAGGGGATACCTCGTATCACCTGTGGGATGGAGAGCATCAGCCCCAGCTGTGTAATCCGCTGCCCACGGGGGCAGACCAAGCATCCGATGACAGGAAATAAGGGGCCGGGCTGCTCACCTTGACTCGGGCCGAAGGGCCGGCTGAACTGAGGCATGATGGTGACGGGGGCGAGACCGGGACGTATGTTCTTCATGTTGGTCAGATGGGCGGGGCCAGGAGACTGGGCGGGAGAGGGGGCGGGGCTGCCCAGCTGGGGGCTGCTCTGGAGTTAAAGGATACAGCCGCTTAGGGACTAACCACAGAGTGCTACAGTACAGTGACCAGATGAAGTCACTGCAGTTTGAAAGTGATTCCAACTCCACCCAACCTTGTTTATCCTCTGCCTGTGGCTCTACAGCAGTCATGAAGGAGTTAAATGCAAATTGAGCCACTTTCCAGGTTCCTGCCATGAACGAGCCACTTAGCACGAACTGTGTGACCTGGGGGGGACGGGGCAGTTACCTGAGAGGAGTCAAGAGTGGCAATCTCGGCCGGCTTGGAGCCTCTCTGGTGGTCTAGGCTGTGGTGCTTGTTGTGTTTCCACTGGGGGGGCGAGTGGGGCCGTGGCTGGTGGCTGGGGGGTAAGGCGAGCTGCATCATGAGCATCCCACTGCTATGGGGTGGGGGCATGCCTGCCGACGGCGATCACAGGAAACACAGCAGCCAGTTCGATTAGCGTGCCACTGGTAATTGTGTTATGCTAATTATTACTCTGGCATACATTGCAGTGATAATGGACGATAAAGAGAGCGACACGGCAGCAGTGAGGCCAAGGATGAATGTTGATGGAGGACCCTTCAGGTAAGGGAGGGAAATATGACAGGGTGGGGGGACTGAACAGCAGAGAGCTGAATAAAATAATAAACCCCCAAATTGGTGTAAGTGCACCTTAACTAGCAGAGAGCATATGTTTGCAGTGATGTGAAACTGTGCACAGGCACAACTGGGGGGAGGGGGCATAGCTACAAGGACACTCGCATGCAAACCTGCGGTGAAACTCCCAGTCTGTGACCCCCCCGCAAGGGAGAAACCTGGCTCTATAGTCCCTCAGGAGCTGCTTCGTGCCCCCCCCCCAAACTGGCACAATTCTGCGATATTACTCCCCTCCACCCACCCCCCCTCGCCCTTCACCCACACTCTTCCCCAAGGGCAGAGTCGACACAATAACCA